GAGCTCATTAACATTTAAAGGAAAATGCTACAAAAACGGCTTGATCTGAAAAGAGCTGTTTTTGACAGGGTAAAAAAGGTGTTTTTTACACTACCATTGAGAAATTTTAACTAAACTATGTTACAGACTTTTCATTAAGACCCTAAAGAACCATATCAACTTGTAGAAAATGGGCATCCTATGACCCCTTTAACCCTAGTCTCAGTATTAGGATATTAAGTAAAGATCATGTTACGTGAAGATATTTTGTAAGTTTCCTACAGTAAATATATAAAAACTGAATTTTTGATTAGTAATATGCATTGCTAAGAACTTCATTTGGACAACTTTAAAGACGATTTTCTCAATATTTTGATTTTTCTGCTCCCTCAGATTCCAGATTTTCAAATAGTTGTATCTCGGCCAAATATTGTCCTATCATAACAAACCATACATCAATGGAAAGATGATTTATTCAGCTTTCAGATGATGCATACATCTCAATTTCGCAAAATTGACTCTTATGACGGGTTTTGTGCTCCAGGGTCTCATATGTCAGTGCCACTGTTTTGTCTCAAGATGCACAGCAGTAGTGTGCTTTTCTGAGGCACGTTTATAAAAGCTACTTAAGTGTCCTAATTGAACTATGGCTTAATCTGAGCCCTGTCTGTGAAACCAGGCCTTAATTATCAGGTCTTAAATTCACGGTACATTATAATGTAATTATTAAACTTCAAAAGCAATGATTTAATTAAATAAATGTGAGTGCTGCACGTTTCAGAGTAGAAATGCTGTGCTGATCTACTGTTGATGAATTTTGATTTTAATTAAAAAAAAACAAAAAAAACAGTGCAATAATGTAATGTAAATGTACACCACTGTTCGAAAAGTTTGGGGTTAGTATTTATTTATTTTATTTATTTATTTTGAATTAATATTAAGCAAGCACACATTAAATTGATCAAAAGTGACAGTAAAGTCTTTAATAATGTTAGAAAAGATTTCTACTTCAAATAAATGCTGTTCTTTTGAACTTTCTGTTCATCTGTGAATCCTGAAAAATAAAATGCATCACGGTTTCCAATAAAATATTGTTCAGCACGACTGTTTTCAACACTGATAATAATCAGAACTGTTTGTTGAGCAGCAGATCAGCATATTATTATGATTTCTGAAGATCATGTGACACTGAAGACTGGAGTAATGATGCTGAAAATACAGCTGCGCATCACAGAAATAAATTACAGTTTAACAGATATTCACATAGAAAACAGCTGTTTTGAATTTTAATAATATTTCACAATTTTTACTGTGTTTTTGATCAAATAAATGCAGCTCTGGTGAGCAGAAGAGACTTCTTTCAAAAACATGTAGCCTAAAGTTTCACATGTGAAAAGCGCAAACACAATTCAGAAAGTTATCTGCTAGAAAAAGAGGTAGCAACTATACACATAATTGCTAGCTAATGTTAATAGCATGTTTTGAGTCTGTTGTGGTCACTTCCTCTTTTACCGTTCTTTACTTCCTGTCTGGCAGTATAAACAGAACCCAGAGATGTTCAAACAGACGGCTGGACTCTGGTCACATGTTTACGCAGGAGCTCCCGTCTCCAGCCCAGACTACACTCACAAAATAGACAAACTCTGCGCGATGGGCTTTGATAAAGTGAGTAATATACACGCAAATTTACATTGCATTTGTATGGAAGCTCGTTTTTTAAAAATATGGTAATTGTGACTTTTTATCTCACAATTCTGAGTTTATATTAAGGATGCACCAAAATTTCGGCTACCAAAAATGTTCGTTCAGAACAGCAATTTTTGATTTCTGTAACTTAACGTTATATTTGCCTCAGGAAAGACATTCAGTGACCATATCTCGTTATTTAGCTAGAAGAAATAACTAGAGCAGCATTTTGATGAATATACACACTATATTACGTGTTCAGTATATTTGTACTTAACCTGTTAGTGTTGTCTTCATTATTTAATGTATCTTTGTCTTGAAATCAAATTATTACAGCCATCGTTTAAAAGTTTATAGTTCACCAACAAACTGGAGTAGAAACATGATTCTGTTGTTCAAAAGTTGTTATAAAAACTGTGCAATTAAAATGTTTAACTCCGTTTGATTTGGGTGCTGATTAAATACATTTGATTAATTAATTGATCATTAAATACATTTTTAATTTTGGTGCTTGGGTTTTCATTGTATTAATATTAGACATTTTAATTTAATTTTAAATTCATTAATGTCTAATATTAATACAATTATACAAAACAAAAATTTAATATTTTTTTTAGTGGAATAGGATATTTTATGTATGTATTTATTTATTCATTTATTTATTTTTGACATGTTTATACAGTGTTAATATAGTGGATGTGCAATGCACTTTTCTGAGAAAAATTAGCAAGTTTAAAAAAAAAAAATCTGTTTTAGTTTTTGGCTAAGTGCATCCTGAATGTTCGGTTTCGGCCCAAAATTTTAATTTATTGAATCTCTAATTTATATAAAAAAACTGGAGTAGAAACATGATTCTGTTATTAAAAAGTTGCAATAAAAACTGTGCAATTAAAATGTTTTATTTGAGTGCTGATTAAATAAATTTGATTAATTAATTGATTATTAGATATATTTTTTATTTTGGTGCTTGGGTTTTAATTGTATTAATATTAGACAGTTTAATTTAATTTTAAATTCATTAAAATATTTAATATTAAAACAATTCTACAAACAAATTAAATGGAATATGATACTTTATGTATGTATGTATTTATTTGTTTATGTATTTATTTATTTTTGACATGTTTATTCAGTGTTAATATAGTGAATGTGCAATGCACTTTTCTGAGAAAAATAATACGTTTTATTTTCAGTTTTCAGCCAAGTGCATCCTGAATGTTTCGGCCCAAAATTTTTATTTTGTTTCATCTCTAGTTTATATATTACAATTCTGACTGTATATCTCAAAATTGCAAGATATAGACACAGAATTACAGAAAAAGTCTGAATTGTGAGCTATAAATTGTAAGATATAAACTCGCAGGTCTGAGAAAAATGTAAGAATCGTCAGATAAAAAGTTTTTATTCAATTGTTTTTATTTTATTTTTTTATTTCATAATTCTGAGTTTATAGCTCACAATTATTTGTTTTCTCAGAATTGCAAATGTATATCTCCCAATTCTGTGTTTGTATCACACAATTCTAATAAACAGAAATAAGCTCAGAATTGCAAGAAAAAAGTCAGAATTGTGAGATAAAAAGTTGCAGTTACGTTTTTTGGCAGAAACAAGCTTCCATACATTGGTGTGCATCACATTTCTTGCAGTCTTTCTCCAAGTTGAAGGAGAATCATCACAGACTCGTCTTTCTGTTGCACTTCTGTGTGAAAGATTTGACCAGAAAGTGTGTGCTGTGCTTCAGGATGCTCTAATGTAATTTTGCACACTATTATTATGAGGGAAAGTAAATGTGACGCAGCCTGTGATTGTGATGTGATGTTTCCTCCCTCAGAATCACTGACGTCTGGATCTTTTCTTCTCCTCAGAACGCAGTAATAGTGGCGTTGTCGTCGAAATCCTGGGACGTGGAGACGGCGACAGAACTGTTGCTTAGCAACTGAGTCCAATCTGAGGGGCCAAAGCACCTTATCTGACCCAATCCCACCCCCAAATCATCTCCTCAGTCCACACTACCTTCATCTTTCTGTCTCGCTCTCTTTCTTTATCCATCTTTTGCCATTCCTCCGTTTGGATTAGTTCATCCCATACTGAGAACGCCGTCATCTTTATGTTCTAAACTTGTCTGACTTCATTTCTTCAGCAGGAGACGTTTAGCTGAATGTTCACGCTGCTCTTTCTGTGTACAAAGGAACTGGCTTTCCTTGTATAATGCAGAATGGTGTGGAAGCTTGTTTCTGCCATGAAATTTAAAAATAATAATAATAAATTCGGACTTTTTCTTGCAGAATTTTTTTCTCTTGTAATTTATATCTCACAATTCTGAGTTTTTCTCTGAATTTATATCTCGTAATTCTGAGTTTCTATCTCATAAGTCGGAGTTTGTATCTCATAATTTCTGAATTTGTGTCCCAGAGTTCCTAGTTTATATCTCACAATTCTGACTTTTTTCCCTCTGAATTCTGAGTTTGTCTCATAATTCTGAATTTCTATCTCATAATTCTTAGTTTATGTCTCATAATTTCTGAATTTGTGTCCCAGAGTTCCTAGTTTATATCTCACAATTCTGACTTTTTTCCCTCTGAATTCTGAGTTTGTCTCATAATTCTGAATTTCTATCTCATAATTCTTAGTTTATGTCTCATATTTCTGAATTTGTATCGCAGAATTCCTAGTTTATATCTCACAATTCTGACTTTTTCTCTGAATTTAATTTATATCTTGTAATTCTGAGTTTCTATCTCATAATTTCTGAATTAGTCTCAGAATTCCTAGTTTATTTCTCACAATTTTGACTTTTTTCCCTCTGAATTCTGAGTTTTTATTTTGCAGTTCTGAGTTTGTCTCATAATTTTGAGTTTGTCTCATAATTCTGAATTTGTCTCATAAATCTAAGTTTGTCTCATAATTCTGAGTTTACATCTTATAATTCTGAGTTTGTATCTTAAGAAGAAGCTACAGTGCAATGGATAAAAATATGCAAAAATGTAACTATAAGAGCAGTAACACTTTATAAGTTGCATTACAGTACATTATAATTAGAGTGAAAGTTGAACTGGTTTTGGTTATGCCTAATGTCTTAAGTATTGGTTTTTTTTTTTTCAGATGGTTATGAATGTGAAATTATATGAATCAGTATCCCAAGTTAAAAGTAACCAATAAAAGAATCTATTACATTTATTTAAAAAAAAAGAGAGGTAGGGAGGGCTGAAATTTACAGTAAAAAATATATAATGTATATTAACTAATATAATGTTAATAATATTATATTAATAATTTTTTCACCATACAGTGAAAAATATTTTTAAACAGTTTTCACTCAGAAATGCCTAGTAATTTTCACAAAGTAACACATTGCAGTTAACTAATTAACTTTTTTATTATTATTATTTTCTTTTTTTTTGCGGTAGCATTTTGTCTTTTACCATTAAAATTATTTTTTTTTCAGTAATGTAAAAATGGTTGTTTGTGTTCTGAAATTTACTGTCAAATTTGACCAAAAACTGTATGAATGTGTGTGTGTGTATGTGTATGTGTATTAATCATTAAAATGCGTTTTATATATATATATATACACTCTAAAAAATGCTGGGTTAAATACGAGCCAGTGCTGGGTAAAATAGGGACAAACCCAGCAATTGGGCTGTTTTGACCCAGTGGTTGGGTTAAATGTTTGACCCAACCTTCTGGGTAGTAACCAAACCGCTGGGTCAAAACAGCCCAATTGCTGGGTTTGTCCCTATTTTACCCAGCACTGGGTTGTATTTAACCCAGCATTTTTTAGAGTGTAGCATTAAAATTAGTATTTTATGTGTCGGTGAGTAGGCACTGGGTTGTATTTAACCCAGCATTTTTTAGAGTGTAGCATTAAAATTAGTATTTTATGTGTCGGTGAGTAAGCTAATAATGATATGAAGGCTAAACAATTTTTTACATTATTTACTAGAAAGGTGCATACAGTTTTATTGGACGCCACTTTACATGTACTATGATATTTTCAGATATGGTACCACAGTGATAATATCTTGGGGTATTTATGTATGTATGTAAATATGGATTGACTGATTACCGTCGTGAAGCAATTTTAAGTGACGTATTTATATTTGGCATCATTCAGCACCAAGCACCACAGTATTACCCTCTCTTTTCACAGATGGCAGCATGGTAGTGTGTGTTTGTGCTGCTCTGGTCCGCTCCTGTCCTCTGGTTCCAGTCCAGACTGATCACGCCTCTCGGGTTTCCGTCCGTTTTGTCGTGTTTCTGTTGGCTCGATGCGTATCTTGGCGATGAAAGGACGGATAAACTCCGTCCCCTGATCGTGTGACCCTCATCCAGATCTCACGGCGGGACTAACGCGCTTTTCACATCTAAAACTCAACCCGGTGCCAAAAGCGCACGAGACTAATGACCCAGATTGCATTTCGCTCCCGTGTCAGTTCAGGACACTGTAATGATAAAGGTGTCATTTCCGTCTCCATCCCCGCATCAGCTCCGTTACCTGTCCGCGCGCCCACCTGTTGCGTGCATGATTGACAGCTGAATAGCGGCGCGTCTGGTTACCCGGCGCGCAACGCGACACCCGCAGCTCCAGTGTCCGGAACGCCTGCGCGTAACGGGCCAGAACTGAGCGGGATTATCGGTGCATTGGATGAAGATCCTCTCTGTCCTGCATGAGGCGGATGAGCTGCGATCGGGGTGATGGAGAGGACGCGGCGCTGGATGGAGATGCTCTTCTTCTCTGCGTTGTTGCTGGTTGAAGGTGAGACATTCACATTCATGTTTATAGGCTATTCTTACCAGATTATACATTAATTTTAATTCCAGGCTGGTTTGGTTATGATTAACCAATGTGGTAGATAATTAAGCAATAGGTTGTTGCCAGCTAACAAAAATACGTTCTAATAACGTTCTCTAAACGTTTTCTGAACGTTCGAAATGTTTTTTGTTTATGCGAACGTTAAATGAACATTCCATTGTGTCATTTGTATGGGGATGCTACTTTTGAATGTTTTCTGAACGTTCTGTAAAAAGTAGTAACATTTAAAAAACATTAGACAAACGTCCAACTATGAACAATCTATGAAACAATGTTTTTGTGATAGTGTTTTAAGAGCATTATTAAAGACCAGATAACTTTGAATGAATGTTCTGTTAATGTTGCTGGAAGAAGGTTTGTTATAGAACCTCGCCCCAGAACGTTCTCACATTTACGCTAAATATAGGTTGTAAACAGTGAAGCGCAATGAAATATAGTTTTGAAATGGAACATGTATTTAGTTAAAAAATATATATTTTTCAAAATGTATTTCAGGGGCAAGAAAATTCATTTTCAATCTTAAAGTTTAGGCTAAATGCAAATGTGGATGGAATAGAGATCAAAACTAGATTCATAATAATAATGTTTAATTTTGTATATCAGTGTTATATGTATTTATATATTAATATTATATGTAATATTGTATTTTTTGGAACATTATAAAGTATGTTATTTGCTGAATTGTATTCAAATGTGTTATATATTATAATATAAAATATATTGGTAGATTTTGAACCATATTTTGCCAAATATATTTTTGGCCAATTTTTTATATATTTTTAAATGCATGTTCTGATCATCTGGAGGGATGTCTAATGTGTGCGTGTGTGTGTGTGTGTGTGTGTGTGTGTGTGTTCAGCAGCTCATTGCGCTCAGGGTCGATTCGCACACAAGCTCTTGAATGATCTGATGGAGAATTACTCCAGTGCTCTGCGACCGGTGGACGACACGGACAAATCCCTCAACGTCACCCTGCAGGTCACGCTGTCTCAGATCAAAGACATGGTCAGTTCACGCACACACACACACACACACACACTCTATGTCAGTGGCGTTATATGTTGTTACTAAAGGTCAGTTGAGCAGAGACACTCAGACTGCTGTTGATATTAGATGCCGACAAGAGACACAGAGACAAAAAGAGAGAGTGAGAGAGAGACGATGGATATATCACACGGATGATGTCATGGCTGGTTCTTCTACTGCTAACTCAGTGTAACACACACACATGCATGTATGCGCACACACACATTTCTGTCACTAGGGGTGACAACATAAACCGATAAATTCATGAATGTGTGTGTGTGTGTGTGTGTGTGTGAAATGTGTGGATGTAGAGAAAGAAAGAGTGACAAATTTGCACTTTTTATTCTCTTGAATTTGTTCTAATTTTTAAGTGTTCAAATGTTAAATTAGCCAGAATTTCTTTATATTTGGTCTTATATAATAAAATTATTTGAAAAAGTGAAAAGTAAAATTCTACTTCATTGTCTGGTTTATTTATTTATCTCTCTATTTCTTTGTTTTACTGTTTCTGTGCGATTATTACCACTTTTATGAGAATCTTGGTTTCATGCATTTTTGTTATAATGTAAGTTTTATGTTTGCATTTTTTTAAAATGTAATTACAAAAATGATCCTGTGCTGAAATTCCAAATAAAAACTATTTTAACAAAATAGTCTACTTCACATTTCTACTTTAAAAGTAAAAAACTAAAAATTATGTAATAATTACAGAAGGCAGCATTTAAGAGTTTTAATTCCGGAATAATCCATTTATCTTCATTTTTATCAATTCAGAGTTAATTGGCAGCTAGTTGGCAAGCACCTGAAGGCCATGGTCAGATCTTTATTTTAAGGTCACATGGCAAATAATTTAACACATGTAGTAGTTTAATTTTTCATGTGAATTT